GTATACATTTTTATAAGGCATAACATGAAAGAGGGACCAAGGAGGTTGGGAGGAGATGGAGAAATGGAAGGGGTTTCTATAATTGGTACACATTCCTGCTAATTCACTGACACGGAGGACAGACTTCTCATTTAGAAATACATTAATTGTAAATTGCAAAAAAAAAACCCTCTGACGGACACCCCCCCTGCCACCCTTGTTCATTCTTGACTGCCTAAGTAAAATACTCATATAGCAAAGCAAGTTACAGAAAGCGAAACGGCTATGGTTAGGCTAAGATATATTTTATATGTACTGTATTAACTGGACCCTTCAAAGAGGACACAAGGCTGACTGGAAAAGAGGAAGACCAAATGAGAGAGGGATGGAGCCCATAAAGGAACCCCCCCGGTCTTGCCTTTGCAATGCTCAGCAGCACCATTGATTAGAAGACTTCTTGAAGGTCTCTAATTCAACGTGTTGCCATGAGGGTGAAGCAGATAAGAAAAACTACAACTACTACAAGAACAACAAATCCTGGAGTGAGCTAAACATACTGAGCCCAGAACATGCTGAGAACCTTCTCTGGGGAAAGGCATAGCATGCCGGCTGGTATTCGCCTACTTACCTTGGGAAAAAGATTGTGACCAGAACTCAAACGTCAACCGCAATTTCCAGTGGATGGCTGAAATCCTGTTGCTCAACATCATATGTTGCACTAGTGCGGCTCGTTGAAGAAAGTGGGGGCCGGGAGAGTCAACTCCGTTGTAGGGCCAATGGATTCAGATGGATCTACTTGAGTCGCTATTTGTTTTAGCAAAGGAAGTAGCAACTAGAATACTACACTAGGACCACCCCAAACCCTACTGATTCAATGGGTCTACTCTAGCACAACTTATTACACTAAGCCAAAAGATTTAAATCATTGCGTGCGTTTGTGCTCTTTAATTTTTGGAATCCCCTCAAACATGGACAACATGTGGAAGCTGAGAAAATGAATGATTAAAAACAGGAAGGTTAGTGATAAAAATATGAAAATGAAGACATCAAACAAAAAAAAACCTTCTCAAATGGTTTTTTCCCTTAGAAAAAAGTTTTTCTTTATACCTGAATCTCTCTTTTGCTTTGAACTACAAACTCCAGATTTCTTTGCAGATCTTAGGGTAATTTTTAGCAGGTGGTTCAATTTCAAGGTGGGAATGTGGGCATGATAAAAGGAAAAAGAGAAGAGATGCAATTAGGAATGAGTCACCAGAAGAAGGAAACTCAGACTTCCACACCACCATCACCACCTTAGCCAGATATCGGGGCTGGCTTTTCCTCTGTTACTCTGTGCTAGAAATTCTCCCACTGGGTGAGTCCGCTTTTGATTCCTTTCCCCCCAACTTTCTGCTTATCTGTTACTGGATTGTGAGTTTTCCTGGGCAGTTGGACTTCACCTTGGTAAGTAAGAGGAAAATATGGGGCTTCTGAGAGAGAACAAAAGGTGAAACAGAGGAGATAACTTTGCAATGGGCGAATATTGCCAGATGGAGACTGTCTCTATATACCACATACTTGTGTTGGGGCTGGAGAGAACGTTCTCTTCTAGCTACGTCTCCTTCGGATTTTCTTGGATGCCAGTTCCCAGAATTCCTGAATCTGAGGTTTCTGTTTCAGACACACACACACCTTCGGACACATGTATTTTCTTAATCTCTAGCAGGGCTTCTTACATCATCCATTTCCTGTTAAAATGCCTCCTGGGTGTAATCTTACAGCTCTTTCGGTTCTGTATAAACAGTGCCTTCCAAAAACTACACTGCCCTGGGATTTGGAGGGGGGGGGCACAAACTGGAGATCTATAGTGCAGCCTCTGAAGACTCAGTCTTGAGGGAAAATACAAGGTGTCTGAAACTATAGACTGGGACTACCAAAATTCCCCCAGAGGAATTCTGGGATAAATTGGGGAGTTGGAGTGCAGGAAATCCAAATGCCACATCATTATTTTCTCTTAATTGGGTAAGGTGGTAGCATTATGACTTCCATCTATGAACACCTGAATTAGATTCTCCCTTCGAAGGCAAAGGAACTCATAACTGAGGTTAGGGCTGGTGTCCCAACTGTTACTCTAAAAAGTTTCCACTCTATTGTTAAAGGTGACAGATGAAGGTCAACCTTTGATCAACACCCATGGAAGGAGAGGCGCCTCTTCAGGATGAACAGAAGCAGCTGCAAGCAGGAGCCAACCAAAAAGAGGATGAGGGAGATGAAGCTTTTCTTCTCCTTTTAGAGGCCCTTGAGGATGATTTACAAGGTATATATGCCCTGATCACCCTTTTTGATCTCTTCCCAACTGGGTCCAGCTTGTTGGCATCCCTCTTATTCAGTGTGTCATCTACAACCATTCCAAAATCCTTTTCAGTCATTATATTACTAAGCCAAGTAGCCCCCATTTTGTAACTGTTCATTTCTTGGGTTTATTTACCGTAGGTGGAGAATTTTCCACTTATCCCTGTGAAAGTTCATTCTGTTGTTTTCAGCCCAATACTTGAGCTGAAACAAGATCTTTTTGAATTTTGTTCCTGTCTTTCAGGATATTAACACTCACTTGTTAGCCACTGAACCTTGTGTGTCTTCGTCGTCGTTTAGTCGTGTCCGACGCGTCGTGACCCCATGGACCAGAGCACGCCAGGCCCTCCTATCTTCCACTGCCTCCCGGAGTTGGGTCAGATTCATGTTGGTTGTTCGGTGACACTGTCCAACCATCTCATCCTCTGTCGTCCGCTTCTCCTCTTGCCTTCACACTTTCCCAACATTAAGGTCTTTCCCAGGGAGTCCTCCCTTCTCATGAGATGGCCAAAGTATTGGAGCCTTAGCTTCAGGATCTGTCCTTCCAGTGAGCACTCAGGGTTGATTTCCTCTAGAATTGATAGGTTTGTTCTCCTTGCAGTCCAGGAGACTCTCAAGAGCCTCCTCCAGCACCACAATTCAAAGGCATCAATTCTTCGGCGGTCAGCTTTCTTTATGGTCCAGCTCTCACTTCCATACATCACAACAGGAAAAACCATAGCTTTGACTATTCGGACTTTTGTTGGCAAGGTGATATATTTGCTTTTTAAGTTGCTGTCAAAGTTTGTCATC